ACTAGGCAGCCTCCAGTTGTATGGTGATTTATTTTGCAGCAGCCATCCCCACTGCCATCGTGAGGATTGTCTTTCTCCTCCACATCTATAGTCACCTCTGTTGTCACCTGTCACCCTCGTATAGAATGGGGGAGATGCTTGTCGCAGCCTCTCTGTAGTCCAGCAGCTCCTGCTCTGGAGCAGACATCAGAGTCGCATGGAGAGGCCCTGGCCTCTGCGTGTCTGGTTCAGTAGTTCAGCCAGAGGAGCTGGATCATTTGCATTGAAGTGACCACACTTTGACAGCCACTGTATTATATTCAGCAAATCACTGCTAGATTCATCGTCTTAAATGTATTTAGCTGTGAGCTGTGACACCATGGCACTCTACCCAGGGTGACAGAGTGAAACTCTTGAGTCTCAAAAAAAAAAAATTACTAAATGACAGTGTCAAAGAGTGATATTTAATATAATGTCAACTAGGACAGGAAATGTCATGCAGTTTAAATTTTGTTTAACACATTAGGCACAGTGCATAGGAAGACTTTTTTAAGCAGAGTAATCTTTGGAATTTAACATAAAGACTCTGTGTTAATTTCAGGCTTTTTTTTCTCCAGCGTGATGTTGGTCCTCTGTGGGGAGACAACAAAAACCAAACTCCATCCATTTTTACTTCCTTAACATCAAAGAAACAGTGAACATTTCAGAAATTCCTTCAAAACAAAAGGAAGAAATTTAGAGGTTAATTGACATTTTAGTTCACTGTATTTGTTCTGATTTATAGATTGTAAGTTTTTGTATTACTGCTTAGTATGTCAGTAATATTTTTCTTTTACCAAAATAGCCGCATAATTGGGTGATTTGTTTGGTACCTGAGAATGTTATTCTATATGTAATGTATAATTTGGATAAGAATTCAGTCCTAAAACTGATATTTATAAATATGTATTTGATACTTTTTTTTTTCGAGACCAAGTCTCTGTCACCCTGGACAGAGTGCCGTGGCATCATCACAGCTCACAGCAACCTCAAACCCCTGGGCTTAAGAGAGCCTCCTGCCTCAGTCTCCTGAGTAGCTGGGACTATAGGTGTCTGCCACCACGTCTAGCTGGTTTTTCTATTTTTAGTAGAGGTAGGGTCTCACTCTTGCTCAGGCTGGTCTCTAAATCCTGAACTCAAGTGATCCTCCCACTTGGGCCTCCCAGAGTGCTGGGATTATAGGTGTGAGCCACCTCCCCTGGCTTTACTTGATACTTACTGACAGAATGAAAAGAAAAGATATATATTTATCCTGATACAGAAAGTGAAGTAATAAATTGATTTTTGAAATAACACTGCAAAGAAAATTTTGTATTAAAATCTTCAGGAATGGAAACTTCTGGAATATTCACTGAGCTCACAATTATAAGTATAATTCTAGATGTGATTCTAGCCTTTGAACAGTGATAATTAAATGTTTATTATCTGATGACAGACTGGATTACTTCCAGCTGTGATCAGGTCACCATGACTTGTTATCACAGTATTACACACCTGCTGAAGCTTTCATTAGCTTCTGAGAGTAACGTATATATTTGTATCACACTCATATATATTTAAGCATGTTGAGTTGGTGCCAGGGTAAAACTTGTCTAATATTTCTCTCGTGTCACTTAAATTTACCATTTTCATATTTTCTTATTCTTAATTTATTTTGAATACAGGTGGCTTTTGAGACAACATTGATAAAGAAGTTAGGAAAACAGAATAATCCAACAGAGTAATAGGCAGGGTGCAGGACCTTTGGTGGGCTTTCCTGAGGCGATACAAAGCTACCTCCTCAGGCGTGGGGGTTTTTGATATGGTGTCTGATCCCTTTTCAAAAAGAAAACTCAACTTCTTAGCCGGGCGTTGTGACGGGCTCCTGTAATCCCAGCTACTCAGGAGGCTGAGGCAAGAGAATCGCTTAAGCCCAAGAGTTTGAGGTTGCTGTGAGCTGTGACATCATGACACTGTTCCAAGAGTGACATAGTAAGACTCTGTCTCAAGCAATAAAAAATGTAAAAAAAGAAAAAGAAAAATCAACTTCCTTCCCTTCATGATGTAAGGTAGAATTTGAGCTCCATTCAAGAGCACCCTATTTGTTTTCTAGGTTTTTGGTTGCAGAATTCAGATTGACTCCATGTTAAAAAATAAATATGGCAAGTTGCTGGACCATCACTTAACATGTTCAAGGTGGATTTCATCCAACTAACATACATAGAAGCTCACCATTTGTCAGGCATCATACTGTTTACTTCTCATTTAAACTCCTGCTATAGGCTCGGCACCTGTAGCTCAGCGGCTGCTGTGCCGGCCACATACCCCAGGGTTGGCAGGATTGAGCCGGCCAAACGACAATGACAATTACAACAAAAAAAATAGCCAGGCCTTGTGGTGGGCACCTGTAGTCTCAGCTACTTGGAAGGTTGAGGCAAGAGAATTGCTTAAGCCCCAGAGTTTGAGGTTGCTGTGAGCTGTGATGCTGTGGCACTCTACCGAGGGTGACATAATAAAACTCTGTCTCAAAAAAATATAAATAAATAAATAAATAAACTCCTACTACAGTCTCTCCTCATACCCCCTTGGAAAAGTCGGTTAGGAAACTGGGGCTTTGGGAGCTAATAACTTGCTCTGGGTTGTATGGAGAGTAAGCGGCAGAGTAAGAGTTTGAGCCCGGATCACTTTGATGCCACATTTTAAGCTCTTAGGTTCTGTTTTTTGTTGTGTTTTTTTTTTGAGACAGAGTCTTACTGTGTTGCCCAGGGAGAGTGCTGTGGTGTCCTCATCACAGCTCACAGCAGCCTCAAATTCCTGGGCTTAATAGTCCTCTTGCCTCAGCCTCCCAAGTAACTGGGACTACAGGTGCCCACCACCGTGCCCAACTAGTTTTTCTATTTTTAGTAGCGATGGGATTTAGTCTTGAACTCTTGAGCTCAGGCGATCTACCTACCTCTGCCTCCCAGAGTGTGCGAATACAGATATGAGCTGCTACGCCGGCCTGAGCTCTTCACTTCCGAGCCAGTGGTTCTCACCCTGCAGCGTGCAGAATTACCTGTCCAGCAGATGTTGCTGAGCTCTAGAGTTTCTGATTCTATAGCAGAGCCCAGGAATTTGTATTGCTAAGCACTTTGCAAATGTGAGTGCTGCTGGCCCTGAGGAGTGTGCTTTGAGTGTGCCTTGGTTTCGTACTGCACTGCCTGACCGAGTCCTCTGAGGGGCACTAAGAGAATTCCCATGTGCGCATGTGAATTGCTGACATTTGTTGACAACTTTCATGTCCTGGACACCCTTCCAAGTTCACTCCTTTTTATCCTCATATTAATCTTAGGAGGTAGTTAAACTGTGGGGCCAGGGTAATGGGGTTATAATCATCCCCATTGAAGGGATAGACAGAGGCCCCATAAGTGGCTTCAGGGTAAATCAGTTGGGAGAGCTGGTTGTCCTCATCGTTGTTCTGTCAGCCAACCTGGTTTGGAGGGCCGAAGTCCCGGAGCCTTCTCCAGGGGAGATTTCATGCTAGGTTGAGAGAAAGGTTGTGTCTCTGGAGTGCTATTGCAGCCTGGGCCTGGGAAGACGGGAGTTCTCTCATCTTGTCATTCTTCCAGCATTTGGGAGGGTGGATGCTGCACTTTGTCATTCAGGCGGATGGTGTGACTCTTAAAATGACCTATATTTCAGTTGAGTTAAGAGACCTTTGATATCATTAGCACACATGAAAGGGATTCCAGGAGACTTCACATGTTAAGAACCACACTAGTGGTGCCAATATATTAAATTAGAAAATGTGTTGACTGGTGGCAGCGGCTACCTTACAAGAAGGCTTTCAGTCATATATGAAGTTCACCTCCCCATGGCTGCTCCAGCAGCAAGGAAAATCTCAAAATCAGAGTGAGAGGGAAAAAGTAATCCACAATCGGTAGTTTCCCCATGAGGTTTTTTTTTTTTTTTTTT